TCCTACATGATGGAAGTACCCAGCAAGCAAAGCATTCACGTTTTGTAAGTATTGTTATTGTTTTGGTTTTGTTTTGTTTATGCAGATGCTTTTCCCTCAATATTCTGACTGATACTACCATTTCAAATAGTCAATAGCTTGGCAATGTTGGCGGTGAAGGCCTGTCCTGTTTTGCAGCCAACATCCAGTGTGTGCTTCACAGTGTAAGGCAGAACAGCCTCAGCCTGAAAAGCCCATGCTGTGGCTTTGCTGCTGCTCCAGACCCCGTGCCACGCTCCAAAAGTGCCTCTGTTGTTCACACTGATCCTCTAAGAAGCTCTACGGGCTGGTGGGACGTGTCTTGGAAGAAGAGTGCCTGAGCATTTCAGTACCTGTCCCTTGCCCTAGAAACTTTCTAGTGTTGGGAAGGACAAAACATAGGAAACTCCCTTCAGAATAAGAATAGTTTCAAGACAAAAATAAGATGCGCTGATCTAGATGAGAGAAAGGTGGAGAGGAAATTTGGTAAGCTCATTATCATGCAGATGGTTTAATAGAACTTGATTATGTGGGGAGATATCTAAGTGCTGTAGTTTTCCACACCTCCTTCTTTCAGTTCAGAATGCATGTTTGTACCTTCAGATAGGTTTAGCTGTAGCAGGGTATTTCTCTGCAGCCTATGTATGAGCTTGAAATCTCCTTTCCACACTTTAAAAGCAGTCCACTGGGAAGGTTCATACAGACTCTTCTTCCCCATACATTCAGCAACAACAAAAAGTCTTACTTCTCTTCAGTAAAAATTGGCGTGAGAAACTCTTACTCATATATCTTTGGTCTCTAGAGAAACTATAGTAGAACTCAAAGTAAATCACTTTGGAAAGGGCCGAACAGATGCCTTGTCTTGCATCATTTTAACTGAACAAATTTAGCTTGGTCTGGTTCCTATAGAAACATTCTGGATTCTTCTGTGTAAATTAATAAATTCAAGACAATCAGCCATCTCCTCGGATTGAAGGTCATTGTCATTTGCACCTTTTTTCCTAGTGCTTTGCAGTTCAGATATTTATGGAGCATTAAAAAACTTTTACATAACCATCATAACGGCATTTTGTAAAAATAATTAAGAGTAGAAAAAAGCTAACAGTATGATCCCTCAGCTAAATTTTGAAACATGGCTGTTCCTATGGCTGAATCAAATTTGACAGTCCATGAGAGATGTCAAGTATGCAGTCCTGAGCTCACATAAAATATTCTGTGATAGGCCCAGGGATGCACACACAGAGTGGACATGACTGTAAGAAGGAGCCATAGAAAGAAGTGCCTCATCTAAACTTCTTATTGCAGCCTTCCCTATGAATGCAAGAATCTTTCTTAGAAGATTCAGATTTCAAACATTCTATGCACTCTGTTCAAACTTCTTCTGATCTACAACTGGTAACTAGACTTCAGCGTTACACTGGCAAAGATAAGAATAAATAATATCTTTTAACTATGCTACCTCATCGTCATCTGCAGTCACACATCTTTTCTCTCTCTTGTTTTATAAATACTTTGTACTGTTTGGACAATTGGTTATATTCTGAGTAGTTTTACAAGCATGTGGATTCACCAGGGGTATAACAAAGATACTCACACAAGTCTGCTTTTCTGGCATTTTTCATCCGTATGATTTTTACAGTGAGCAAGTTGCATGGAGAGGGTTCTGTCTGTTGAACAGCATACAGAATGTGTGGGATGAACATGCAGAGAGAAAGAACAGAAGCACAGTTAGAGATAGCATTGAATTAAATGTTTCATTTCTAACCATCCAAAACATTTCTGAACTGAGGTTCTTCCTTCTGCGTTGTCTTCTTCTTCCCAGAAGGTGTGCAGCCAGGTGTGGCCAGACACCCAAAATGTACATTCAATCACAGACCAAACCTCTGATGGTCTCCATTTTCTATTCTGAGGAAACATGTGGTAACACTCAACTTGAGGTGTCTGACTCTTACAACACAATTACAGAGTGTGATAGTGACCCTTGCTGCGTTACTAACCCTGCTGACACACATCTTGGTCTGTGCAAATTCAAAGGATGTCATTTATATCCACTATATTTCACAACAAACAGCAGATAATCTAGCAGAGCAGGAATTAGTAACAATATCATGGTGTAACGATGCTGCTCGTCAGCTGGTTTACAGCTGTATATATAACTTCATTGTTATGTTTGACGCAGAGCAGTGCTGGCTCCCAATGAGGACCTTACAAGTGTCTTCCAGAGACCTATTCCAAACTTCTCAGAAGGGGGAGTGAAAACAACAACTCCTTAATTATTTCTCTCTGAATAATTCAGCTCATCCAATCTTCCTTTAAGAAAAAGCCATAGGAAAGTATCAATTGAAATCTTGGGAAATCAGCTAAACCTAAGTGGTTATCAAAAGACATTCAACAAATCTGCCAGGAAACTGGCTTGATTTTGTCATCCTCTCTCATCCTAAGCAGGGATCGGACAAATATATTACTTAATCAAAGGATGGGGACTGAAGATGAGTCTGTCTACTCTCTAGATGATTATTAAAAGAATAAAAGGAGGAAAATCTGCACATTTAATGCTCTAAATGACAAAAAAAAAAAAAAATAACAACCAAAAAAACCACCAAAAAACAAAACACCCCACAACCTACCAAAATCAACCAAATAACCTCAAAAAACCCTAAACACAAAAAAAAAAAGAAAAAACAACCAACCCACACCCCAAAAAAACAACCTCCAAGAGTAGCAAAAAAGAAAGAGTAAAATTATGTAGTGATGGAACAAACACACATAAGAGACAGTTCATGCACACTACCTATAGAGCAGAGAATATCACTGCAGTGAATACATAGATCAATATTTAACAATGTGTCACCATTCATTCCCTTATGCCCAAAAACTCCCACAATTTTTAAGAGAACTATATTTAACACCTCACATAATATTAGTTTCCTGGCTTTCCCCATGCATTTGTTGACATTAGTGATACCTCCTTATTTTCCCTCAGTGAGTTGTTTTGTCTAGCCCGATGGATGGAATCAAAGGACAACAGCAATGAACAAAAAGATCACTTTTTTTTTTTTTTCTTTCCTTTTTAACTGGGGATTTTCAAAATAATTGAATCGCTGCAGTATTAAAGTCCTTGCATTCCTGAAGGCCAAAACCCAAAGCGGGCGCAAAACCCAGGCAGAAGCCCCGCTTTGCACCCAGCCTTGGTGCTGAAGAAACCTCAGAGCTGCAGACACAGGAGGTGGGACACCACCTCTCACAGCAGAACCCCTCTGCTGCTGCGGGGCTGCCCGCGCAGCTGGCTGCAGAGCCCCCTCTTTCCTTTCCCTACCTGGCTCTTGCTGTAGAACAGCCCCATCGTGGTCTTTCCCGAGCCAGGAGCGAAGCGTGGCAGCCGTGGGTGCAGAGGAGTCTTGGCCAGGCACCTTCTGGTGCTTTAAGCTGCCTGAAGCGGGCAGACAGGTGTGTTAGTGCCTGACTCAGCGCCGCCTCACCCCGCCACCACCACTTGAGCAATCCCCAACTCCTTCTCCGCCTCCTCCTCCTCCTCCTCCTCCTCCTCCTCCTTCTCCTCCTCCTCCTCCTCCTCCTCCTCCTCCTCCTCCTCCTCGGGAGGTGCGTGCATGCTGCACACCCGCAGCCAGGCACAGACACCCAGACCCCGGCGCTGCGGAAGGATGGTCTTTGTAGCTGTAGGGAGAGGGACACTGAGGCCTGAAAGGGATCTTCCCTTCACAGTTACGGGTGCTAAACAAATGTTTTATACTTTTCAGCATCTCCATCGCTTCTCGAGGAGGCCACAGTGCTTTTGCACACTGCAGGGCTGTTGGACTGCAGCCCCTCGTGTGGAGGTGGCTGGCACCAGCCAAGGTCCATCTGGTTGCCTAGGAGTGGGCAACAAGGACAAATTTGGCCAAGGACATCCGAACTATCCCACGTGCATAGAAAAGACTTGTAGCTTTTTATTGTCTATAGGGAGAGGTGGGTCTTTGCTTAAAGATACATCTGAAATAATTTTTTTATATACCCATCTCACCTTCCTTGCTCGACTCAGGCAGTAAGCTGTCCTTCAGTGTTACTTACAGTGACAAACATTTCACGAAACAATTCCAAAGTCATCTGTTGAAACTGTAAGAGAGTTTCTCTAGTAAAGGCAAAGCTTTAAAAGTTCATTTACTTTCTCAAAATTTTTTTTACTTTGTGCATCTGAATGTGCTTCAGTGAATGATCTCCAAGACATCTGGGATGGTGAAATTAATGTTAATTATTCTTTATGTTCTCATGTATTCTTTATGTCTTCACATTCATAAGGCTTCACTGTGCATGGCACCACACATCATGCAAGGTGGTCCCTGTTTCAGTGAGGGAGTACACAGAGTACACAAGAAGTAAAAAAATGGGAGATTTTGTTTTTAAAAAAACATCATCCTTTTTATTATGAAATTTAACAGAAAAAAAAAAAAAACAAAATCAAAATAATCTCATTTCATTTTGCAATGAATTGAGAACTGATTAAGGTAACTTCACGGACACGATATAATTCGAATTTCATAAAACATTTGGCATTTTAAGACACTCTAACTTAAGAACTAGATGCAACAAATGTCACCCAGAAAAACTTTAAACATGTTAAGGATGGATAACTAACAGCTCACAAGAAACAGTATTCAAAGGAAGGAAACCCAAAAGGAAAATATTCCTAGAGAGACTGCAAACATCTCTGTTATAAGCTTATTGCATGTTTTTGAAATATTGGGGAAGCTGAAGATGAGAGCTGCAGAATATTCTTGTAAGAGGAACTCCCTCAGAGAGGGAAAGGCAAGTTTCCTATCAGCCAGCAGGACACAATGCAGAGATACCCCAAGGCCAACTTGGGATGTTGCACACCTATGTCAGTACAGCAATTAGTCATGGTTAGAAGATGGGTTAATTAACCCTGATGAAAAGCAGGGTTGATGTGGCTCAGGCTGTGTCACGCACCTATCCAGCTTTTTTTCCCCTGTCCTGTTGTTAAGTTTTCCCTGTAAAACAGACTGAAACATCTTCCACCCGGCTCTGTTTCATTTCCAACAAAAAGGTCTTAGAAACCATGGTAGTAAACCCAAAGATATCTCCAGAAAAGACCCAGAGGGATCCCATGAGCTGATATTCCGGTGTTATGGAGCTGAACCACAATTACAGCTGCCTCACCTGTGGAGAGCTAATCATCTAGATTTAAATATGCAGTACTGTACCTGAAAAGAGGTACATGCCCTTTCAAGTGTTTCAGGTACATGAACACAATGAACATGCTCATAAGGTGAAAAACGTGGCCCACTCCTCCACTTTCACCACCCAAATTGCTCTAAGATGCACCACCAGCTGTTTTTTCCATAGGAGAAAATCTTTTTCTCCCATCTATTTCCTATAACTTTATTCCATACAAACAGATTTGTCACTTCTGAGCATAATCAAGACTCTCCTGATCGCAACACCAGTTTTGACCTGGTGACTCAGTCTGAAGTTCACTGCAACAGTAGGAGCCTTTTATTATCAAAAGAAAGGTAATCCCAAGCATTTTCTGAGCTGTTGGGACCAGCCTCTTCATGTACCGCATCTCCACAGTGCAGGGCTGCTACTGTGAAAAGACCAAGCTTGTAATGTGCCTGCTGTGGAGCTGTGAGAAGAGAGCCTTTGGCAGTTACCTGCCCCCAGAAGACCTCTAGGATTTTTAATGACAAGGAACCGCTCTCTCAGGACAATCCCTGCAAAAGACCATTTGCAAGAAAGTGTTGAACAGCTGCAAAAAGTATGTCTGGAAGGGATCTCAAAAGGCCCTCTTGCATTGCCCTATTCTATGCAGGCAGCCAGCAGCTACTTCCCATCTTATGAACCACTGGAATAAATTGCAATGCCATCTTTCAGGAATAGTCAAGGCAGAAGGTGAGTGAGACAGGACAGTCAGAAGCAACTCCAAGAGAAAAATAAAAGGAAAGTCGGGCAACACGACTACTACTTAGGCTGAATATAGGTGGTTCTGGGAATAGAAGCCCAGAGGATTTGTTTGACTACCTGAAAGAGACGATCTAATTCAGGGGTAATTTTTATTGATGGTGAGAACTGTATAGATTTTTAAAACACTCATAGTAACTTAAGAAACTTATTTTCAAAGATTAGTGAAGAAAGCCAGTGAAATAAAACCCCAATAGTGGACAGACAATCAAATCCAAGATGATAACCTTCAATAATTAAGATAAGCAAGACCAACACAATGGATTAGCTATTTACTAGAGAGATTCCTGTTCAAGGGATTGCTATTCTGACAGACAGAAAATACCCATATAAATACTGTTTTAATTCACATTTTCATGTATTACACATTTCATTATTACCTTACACAACACTATATTAATTTATACAGAATATATATATATATCAATTTGTAAAGTAACAAGGTAACAAAACCAAACACAAATTTGCTGCTTCGAAGTTTGTTTTGGATTAAACCACCGGTAAATTCCAATCTGTTCATCTGAATAACCATGTAAATAGGATTAATTGGAGTCCAGCATGTCCTTAGGATGATGCAATTTCTACTGCAAGTATCACTGGCAAGCATCAAACATCTTGATCTCACCAGGTAATAGACAACCTAAGAAATATCACATGTAAGGTTGAAGCTAGTGGGTGGTGGCTAATAATTACGCTGCTTCCTCCGTGCCACTGCCAGGCGCAAGGCCTGAATTATTAACTTCTCATTATTCAGGACATTGTAATCAGTCAGTTTCACCAGTTTGTCAAAATTCTCTTCACTGAAACACACTTCCCTTGTTGTAAATGGGGAGAGGATGCTGGAGACATCAACTTTGCCTTCAGCCATCTCTTCAGGACTCCTTTCCACACCTGAGGGACAAACCACAAGGAGATGCATCAATGAAGTTTTATTGTAACATGTTGCTCATATCAGTTATTTAAGTAATTACAAGTTGAAAAAGGAGATTGAGAGGGAAAGATATGATTTGCCAGAGAGACATAAAAGTATTCTAGTAGCACTGAAATTTCAGGAGAAATTATGTCACTCAGACTGAGGACATAGTTCATATTAAAAGCAAAGATCTCTGTCAAATGAGTCCTCAGTCTGGGAGATTACTTTTAAATATGTGAACAAAACCCAGATGAACAGGATAGCACCAAAACCTGCGGAAGATTTTGCCTCCATCTTTGTTTGCAAGCAGCAATGCGTAGCAAATCCGTACCTGTAGAGCAGAACAGCCTGTGTTGAGGACCTACCGCCCATGCTGCAGGTATGTTGGGAGTTTTACCTTCATACTATCTCTCATAAGACACGTGATGGAAATGCCTATTTTCATCTCAAATGTATTAGGAAAGCTTCTGGAGTTCTCACAGTTCAGACATACAGACACAAACCAGTTATTTTTGTCAGTGACGAGACTGATAATGTCAGCATTGGAAAGAAGGTCAGAGAGGACAGTGAGATGTTAGATGTGAAATGTATAGGACACACTAAGCATGTGACACTTTATTAAAATTGCTAGCTACCGATGACTCACCAGGAGCTTTATATTTCTTGAAGGTGTCATTTACTAGGGGGAAAAAAAGCACTGTTGGGGCTTGCGGACTGTCAGCATCTTCAAACACATAGCACTCCTTCAAATTTTCCCTGTCTTCCTCACTTATCTCAATTTTGGGAAATGGAATTCCTTGCCCTGAGATGTACTTTGCGATCTGATCCAGAGGCTGGATGAATGAATAAAATAAATAAAATCAATACAAAGAATCAGAACTCATAAAAGATCCAGAGACCTGGATTTTCTAAACTCCAGAAGCTAACATGAATATTCTAAGGCTTGAATCTTCCTTTTGGAAGGTGTTAAGTTTCAGATGGAAACAGCCATAATCCCATCAGTCATTGCAGCTTATCTTATTTTCTTCATTGCTTTAGGCAAAACAAGAAAACAGTCACTTCCTTTGAGCTTGAAAATGGAGCCAAAAACCACAGGACTGATTTTATGAGTCCAATGAAAAAGGTTCAGAAGGGGAAGGCAAAGAAACTGTAGGAATGGAGAAGGAACACATCAGTCCAGATTATTCTGTATCATTGTCCTGACTTCTTCATTATTTATCACTTTCCCAATCTTTCTGTCCTCTACATAGTTCATGATTGTTTGATAATAACTCCCTATTAACAAATACATTTATCAACGTACCTTATGACCTCATGAAAAAAAACTTTAACAGCTATATTTACTATAAGCCTATGTTTATTTTTATATTATTCTCATTATATATGCAGCACTAATTATATTATTTTTCATTATTAATCAAGTCTGGCATGAGCCAGTGCATTTCTTTAAGGCTGCTATGAGATAAAAAGGCTCAGAGACACATAGGGTTTCCCATTTAATCTGTTAAAATATTGTCAGGACCTTCCATTGCCTCTGTAACTTGCTCAGTTCAAGGATAACCAAAAATCAATATTAGAGCTCCAGAACACTCCTCAGTCAACTCTTCAAAAACTTGTGGATCTACTGCAGTGAAGACCTAGATCATTTTAAAATGCCTATATCCATCACTGCCTTCTAGTACCCTTTTTAGTTACTAAGAAATAAATCACCTAGTAATCTAAGCAATAAATCAGATAATAATCATCTAATTCCCATTCCAGTACTGGTAAGTTAGTTGGTTGAGTTGACAAGTACTGGAGACCAACAGACCATGAAGGAAAAGGTCTCAGATACCATGACTTTTCTTACCAGCGTCTGGGACCCTCCACTGTAATTTAAATGCAGGATGACATCCACCTCCCTCTTCGATCTCAAAAGTGGTGGGTAGCTGGTATTGATGAAAAAACCAGTATCAACAAGGGAGAGCTCACTGTCTGCTGTTTCCATCAGTTTATTTGGGAAGGAGTCTATTACTGTGTCTGAAATACAAACATTTCTCATTACAACAAAAAAACCCCAAGTTTGACTGATCCTCTGCAGAAAGTTAAAGAGGGAAGAATGGAGAATTTTGCCCCTCATTTTCCCTATGTGCCTTTGACTCACTAGCAGCACTGATTTACAGGAGTAGGCGACAAACTACAGTGTTTTCCTTCCTTCCTCCTTGGATACCTCAAGCAGTTTTGGCCCCGCAGGGGAGATCCATCCTGCCTCCTCAGGCTGAGCTCACCTTGTCTACTGGAGCACAATCCCCAGACAACCAAATTCAATTTCACACCTCAACCCCCTCAAAAAAAATGAAATGCTGTTCATTTCTGACTCCCACTTCTTCCATTTGTGGGAGGGAGGAGTGGAATTTCAGAAGTCAGTTTTGTTTCTTCCTTCTCACTGGAAATCCAGAATGAATTCCCAAACCTAAACCTCCTCAAAATGTTACTGAAAAATATGCTGTGATACTGTGCCTTTCCAGGTAGAAAATCCTTCACTCTCCAGGTACTTGCTATGCATCTGGAAGCCTCTGATAAAATTGGGATACTGTGCAATTGTTGGGCGTCCTGTTAAGATGTCTCGCAGAGAAGAGGAGAGGACACTCGAGGGAGTGCATAGACATGTGTCTACCTCATAGGGGTTCATGGACAGAAAAGGTTCCTCCTCTGCAAGAAGGAAAGAAGTTCTGAGTTTAGGACAGTTTTCTGAAATGATCAATATTTTTTAAAATGGAATAACTAATAACCACTGTTGTCACAATCCCCCACTCCACAGGTAAATCAAACATAGTCGTAAGCCCTTAAGGTCTATCCTAGTAGTAAAACTCAGCATTAGACACTGAATTAAATGGAAGCTACCTGCAGGCAGCAAGCTGCCACGTGGTAAGCACCACCTCCCACCCGAGGCTTCCTTGAATGCTGCCCACCTCTACCACAGCCTGGGGTGGAGGGGAGAGCAGAGTCCCAAAACATACAGGAGGACAACACTGGCCTTTGAACAGGACACCTACAGAATGCATGGGAATATCGCCCAGCTGCAAACATTAGCTAAGTTAGGAGGCCAGTCACTCCAGGTTCCCTGTGCAATCCACAGCAAAACCAAGCTTTTTCCAAGAGCAGTTTAGCGGAGAAAAAAGCCCTCTGGAAGAGGGCTCTCTAACGATGGTATCACTGGCCAAGGACCATATCAGTACTTAAGATGTGTTCTTAATACAGCATGACTTTTACATGTCTGCTGGAGACTGGGTTTGTGTATGTCCTTTAGAAAAAGGAACAGATTTGCAAAAGCAGCATGTTTAGTATGTTTAGTTCTTCTAAATCAGACAGAAAATTTTCTAAGCTGACATCTCTGTTTTGCTTTCCTCATCTCTCTGACTTTGACAGCTTCTCTCTAGGCATTAGACCTCTGCACAGAATATAAGCAATATATACTGGTGGTAAAAAAAAAAAAAAAAATCAAAAAAAAACCCCCCACACAACAACAACAAAAAACAACAACAACAACAAACCACAAAAACATCTCACCAATATCTTTTACTCTGTCTCTGGTCCATCTACACCAGAAGTCCTCTGAATCAGCAGCCAAATTCCAGACATACATCACATCTATGGAAAATATACTACTCCACATGCCTGTAATGTGAAAGAGACAGTGGAAACTGATTGGTGGCGTAATCTTGGAAGAATGTTAATTGATACATACCTTCAGTCCTTCCCATTGGATGCCTCCTTTCTGTCTGGATGGATATCTTCATAAGCACACTTCCTAAGTATATCCTTGCTAATGCAAATTCACACCTGCTCAACCTGTTTGCTGGTGTCTTCCCACTGCTGTCCACCAAAAACCACGTGCTCCTCACACCAGCTGCTTCTTGAGTAGGCCACCTTTCCCTCTAGGCAATAATCACCTTGCATGTAGCAGATCCGAGTCTCTGAGAGCCTCTTCACCATCCTTCCCATAAAGAATTCACTTCCAAAATGTTCTGCGCGAACAGATGCTCCGTATTTCAGGAGACCGACTTCATAAGGAGTAAACTCCAGCCACTCTATGGAAACAGCAGACAGATATGAAAAAGCAATAACACATTAACTACTGCTAAACAGAAGAGTACTAGAGAGCAGGAACAAATCAGGAGAAAGACACTGACTAGTTCATAATGTGCCATTCATCAGCTATAGCTGTATCTGTATTGCCTCCAGTGCTAATGCCATAAGGTCCTTTCACATCAAGGGAAGGCAGTTCCAGGCTGTGATCCAGCAATCTCCAGCAGAAAATCCCTGGTCTGAGTGAAACCATAAGCATTCCCTGCAATTAATTTTACACAAAAGTATGTATTGCTCATGTATAACTTGTTCCCTTTAAGGCACCCGTGACAGAGAACTTGGCATTCACTTGGTGTCATTTACTCAGCAACTTAATATTAAAAAAATACTGTGAAAATTAACACTAGAGGAAACAGTGATTCTCCTGTCACTGGACCCAAAAATACAAATTTTTCCCTTTAATTGTTCAAAATAAGACCACATGGAACCATCATAAGAGTTAATTTTGTTAAAAGGTTTCTGCGACCAGGATAAATTGTGAGGTTGGCATCTTCTGTATAACTATATTTTCTCTTGTGGCAATGTAGAGAACTCAAATTGTAAAGACTAAACATGTTTAGATTTTTTATTTTTAAGTGTTAGTCACTATTATCTGAAATTTTAAAAGGTCTTTTTTCTGCAATTAGAATGAAAGGACTATTGTACTATTAAAGCTGATTACATGCATTTAGTCTTAGTTCAGATTACTTAAATTATGAAGTTGTAAAGAAATCTAAATCATAACCCATTACCTCTGAATGCCTGAGCACTATAGCTGGACTTGAGGTTGATGGCCACATAGATGGGCAACGGGTTCTGACCATTATCCACCGCCCGCCGTTGGTCCGAGAGTCTATGCTCATCTTTCTGGTTTTGATTAAAAATGATTAATGGAATGAGGTGAAAACCAACTTGTACTTGAAATAATATAATGTGAATTATCAGTTTTATCCAGGTTCTCCTTCCCATTCTCAGCTCACTGGATTGTTCAGAAATATCTGCCATGTGATATTCCAAACTTGGCAAGTATCCCATAAGAAGCAGCTACACCCTATATGGGTTCTCAGATTTTAAGATATGCAGAGAGGTTGATTGTGGATTCAGCAAGGGAAAAAAACATTCCCAGGAAGAAATGTGTGGTTAAGTGAAAGGTAAGGCACTTTCCTTGGCTGGATGTCAGCAAACAGAGTTGATCATATTTTAAGATATTTTGCAAGCGTATGTTCTATTGCACATGACAATTTCAAACTTCCTTATATAAACATAAATCAGAAGGAAACTACTTAAGTTATACTATTTTTAAAGTAGCAAAATATCTATCACTCTTTCTTAAAACTTGGTAACATATTTAGAGAATGGTCTTTCTCACTATTTCAATCATCTCCATATGTAGGCTATAACTAAGTCACTTTATAAACGCATATCTTCATTTATGCTAGTGAAGTAAATTATTTAAAATTTCTAAGTGCCTCTTCTAGTCAGAATACTTAATGTACAAAGTGATTAGTTTACATTTCTAAGGAAATGTACATTCATTTCTCAGGATTTCTTTCTTTAAAAAGAAATAACATCTTTGACTGCAGTGCCATGGCTCCTTCAGTTCAAGGTCAACCTCACTTTAAAGTAAGAGTAGTGTTTTAAAAGTGGATCTGAATATACAGAATTTAATCAACCACTAAACTAATTATCCGCATCAGTAGTCCTGAATGGTATCCCAGGATTTATTTTCTTCTCCTTTGTAGCTGTAGAAGTTCATCAGGTTTCTGAAAAAAAAAAAAAAAAGGAGTAATACCTTATCATGTAGCATGGATTCAATGACAAGCCCCCAAAGATCTATGAAAGAAGTGTTATGTCCTTCTTTAGTCCTCTCCATCAGGTCATTATAATAGTACTTCAGACAATCCAAAGAAAAACAGCAGATCTTGGATTTGGTTACTTGCTTGCGAGCTTCATTGATTGCATCCTCCAGGTATTTTTGTGACCAATTAGCATCTTCATATAAGTTTGCCATTGTCCTGAAGAAACATTAGAAGAAAATAATGAAAAAGGAATAATGCTGTGGTTTGGCCTCAGAGAATTTTTTTGCAACCTGTTTGCCTGTTTCTTAATTCTTATGGGGTTCACAACTAAAAATTAAACACACCTAAAATACTCTCATTTCATGAGCAAACAAAATCTCTAAGCTTTCCTGGTTTTGATGCTAAAAGTTTATGTGGGCTGAAAAATGATCTGAGAAATTCAAGGGAGGAAAAAAAAATAAATCCAAGGCTATTAAATACAAAGACTCCAACAAGTCCTCAGAAAAACCATTTCTTGGAAGACGGAGAGTATTCTAGGGAGTAGTCACTACTCTTTGCTCTAGTCCTACGTTTGTTCCCAAGTATCTGCCAACAGCTCCTGCCAGCAGGAGAACTGGGCAGTTCTTGGGTCTTGGGCATGTCCTGGTATGGCCATTCTTACTTGTCTTCTTGAAATCATAACACAGACAGGTACACTCACATCTCCACATACATACAGAGAAGTTAAAAGAATTTTGGCAAATGCTTAGACAAACCCACCATTAAGGCTTTGACTTAAATAAAGGACTGAGATGCAATTCAGTGCAAAAAACCTCTCCATTTGCAACCCAGAGCAGAGAAGTAGAGCTACCTAGAAGCCACTTGATTAAATACTTATGTTATTCTAAGCATGACATCATCTGCTGTTTGCCCACTGGGAGAAGAGAGAGCTTCATAATGAGCAACCATAGCTGCAGTCTCTCTGAAATCAGTAACTTGCCATCATTTGTTGGACTCTTTGTGACAGTATTAATTCCACTAGCCCCAAATACATCTTTTACCAGAGGGAGATGCACTCTAAATCCAAAATGGAAGTGAGAATAACCAGCAAGTGGCAGGCATAAATTCTTCTTCCCATCTTTCTTCAATTTCCAGTCTAAAGACAAATTCGTTGCATTCAGTCTAAGGTATAATTGATAAAATATGAAAAGGTAATAGAGCATTTACGTTAAAATATCAGGCATAGACCGTGTCAGTGTGGTGACAAAAGCAGCTGATGAATGTGACGATTGATCTCTTATTCAGTATGTTTTGTTTCTTTGCTCTAGGTGGACACAGAGAAGATAGTGGGGGAAATGGAAACGCTTTTGCTTTACTAAGTGCCATACAATCTGATGGTGCTGTACAAACAGTCAACAGTGTGGAGCAGAGAGTACAAACGTGAACCTTGTTTGGGTCATTCTCACCATGTGGTACCCGATAAACCACCGATGTAGGAAATGCAGTCTAACAGATTGAGTTTCTGGAGACCCAGCAGGCTGCCGTACATCGCTGTCAGCGACCGCGTCCCTCCCCCGGTTGTCGTGATGGCCACCACCGGCACCTGTGCAACACAGCGAGGCAGAAGGGGCGAAAGCCATGCGTGCGTTAGAGACCGGCGACCCTCCTCGCGGCCGAAACCAGACAGCGGATTACGGGCAGCGATACGAAAAAAAGGATTGGATTGTTGCAAAAGGCTTCTGCTGCCACCGCCTGCCTGATGGGAGAGGGAAGGCTTAGGTCCTACCCACTCAGACTGGCGGCGGGGGGGAGGCTGTTCACCTAATGTGTAGTTGGAAATCAACCTCATCACCCTGGAATTCTCCAAGTGTGTTATTAGAAGCTGTCATAGAAAATACAGGATTTACCATGCCGGCGCAGATTAGGGATCCGTGATTCCACCTCTAACAATGACCAGTGTCTCAGAAGAACGCACAGCACCCCATAATCAGCTAGAGCCCACAACAGCCAAAGCCTTCCTGTCCTCAGGCCACTGATTACTTTATGTCCTGAAGCACAATCATCAACAGGGCTTCACCCCCTCCAAGGTCCAAGTGTAATTGAAGAGACAGCTTATTCTTCTCTCAATCTTTTCCTGATCTAGTACACCCTTTGCTTCTGTTAGCATCTTGAGCCGTGTAGGTGATTGCATGCCCTATGGAAAATGTCTATTTATACCTTTCAAGTATTAGCTTCTAATTTCATCAAGCAATCTGCTGTTCTAAAGTCAATAATACAGCTTGAAGAAAATATTTCTCCCATTCTATGAAATTTTTAAAAAGACCCTAAATAGATGTTCTTCCTACCCAAAATTCAATAAGAATTTAAAATCTAGGAAATTTTATAAAATAATGAGGAAAGATCTGATCATGTTAACTAAAATTAATTTCAAAAATTTATATTTTGTTTTTTATATTTTCTATCACTTTTCATTATGAATTAAAATTCTATTTTTTTTTTCTTTCAGTTCAAATGTAAGTCAGTTAACAAGGTAAAGGGGATTTTTTTCCACAATTTTGAAGAACAGGACAGCCAGAGTTATTAGACCTTTCTAAAAAACAGCCTTGGTATTACCATTTTGGCCTTACCACCTCAACCACTTTTCTATGTGTCAGGAAAATACTAGATAGTTCTGTAAAAACGTGCTTTCCAGCTTTCTTGAATACTTTATTTCCTGTAATATTCTCTGCTCTGAAATCCAAAATATGATTTTTTTTTTTTTTTTTTTTTTTTTTTTTTAAATCTGTACCCTATCCATAGCACTATTTCTTTTAATTGTCAGCTAAAGAGGATTCTTGTTGTTGGTATATTTGTACTTTTCTGATTTTCAACAACCCAGCTAGGCATAAGCAGTTACAAAATTTGTAACTGAATTATGGAGGCAGGAGCAGGGGCTACAGTGATAAAGCTACATTTCTAATCATCTATCAATGATGCTGTAAGAGTCACTCTTCCAGCTTGATGGTTTTATTCTAGTAGTCTGTTTTCCCAGCAATATACCTTTTCTGCTACATAAAAAACCCAAAGTATTTTTGTTCAGATGTCTGTGTGAAAATTCTTGCTTTATTCCCTCAAAATCCCTTACAAATGCCCTGACTACCACCTTGTCTCTGTTACTGAGTTAAGGCACACCACTTCCCAGGCAGCATCCCCCAGCTGTTCCGTGCCTGCCCACCACACATCTTCCTCCAGATACCCATGAGCAATATTGAGAATAAACAGGAATTGGCTGAATTGAGGAGCTGTTGAGAAGTTTTGGGGGCTGTAAAGGCATTATCATAGAATGGTTTGGGTTGGAAGGGACATTAAAGATCATCCAGTCCCAACCCCCGTGCCCCGGGCAGGGCCCCCTTCCCCCAGCCCAGGGTGCTCCCAGCCCCGTCCAACCTGGCCTTGAACCCTTCCAGGGAGGGGGCAGCCACAGCTGCTCTGGGCACCCTGGGCCAGCACCTCACCCCCCGCACAGGGAAGGATTTCTTCTTTATTATCCTGCCTCCCAGGCTCTGCTGCATGAATCAGCTACTGCTTCTCTTGCCCAAGGTGGCCAGGCCTGCTCCGGAACAGCAGGATTAATTAAGCTGGTTTTTTTTATTTGTGATTTCAATTTGTGAGCCAGGCCTTGGTCCCCAGAGAGGAGTTGCTACTAGGAACTGTATTGGCTTGCCTCATGCTCTTTCAGATCCTCCTCCAAATGAAGAATCTTTTTCAGAGCCGCAGCAACGTATTTCTTCCTTTTCTGCAGGAAGTCCTGCTCTTCCACGCACAGGTTAAACCCCAAGCGCACATCCAGGTCTCCTGAGCTAGAATAGACAATGGGACAAATCAATGAACATGTCAATTATAGCTGACTTCAAGACCACTAGGGCAGGTAGTCAGTAAACTCCACAAATCATCTGTAAAACAAGCTATTTCCAAATCTGCATATTGATCAAGGAAAAGAAGAAAAATGAGCGTTTCTATTGCCAGCAAGGAGTAGTAGCGAGGATGAAGAGGAGTTTCCAAGGTGGAAACATGGGCACAAAGACAAGATACACAAGCCAGGGAAAGATCATCAAAAGGGGTAATTTCAGGAGTAGTTTTTCTGTATCCATTTCTTTTTGTACTGTGACATCCTGGAAAACTGAAGTGATGCCACCGTCACCTGATCTCAGGTTTTGACAGCTCACTAACAGTATTTAAAGTGAAGGTCCTAATGAGCTATTTGGTGTAGCTTGAACTTCAGAGCAAGAATTACCCCCTGCTCAGCCTCTGTCCTGTGAAATCCAGCCTTTTACCTGTGTGCTGAACAGATGTCTAGATAAGCATTTGCAAGCTTCATTCTGAAAATATATAAGAATAGCAATCATTTCTTCCACATGGGCAGCCACACTGAATTTTCTCCCTTGAGAAGTGTGAAGCACAAGCCAAAAAAAATGCAGGAAAACTGGTACAAAACCAATCAAATTGCAGGTAATATTTTGTGCCTTCAACAAGACAAATACACTTGGTCCCCAGAGAGGAGTTGCTACTAGGAACTGTATTGGCTTGCCTCATGCTCTTTCAGATCATGAAAGAAGACCACTCAATATTGACCAAATCTTCTGGGACACATCACCCTCTGGTTGCTGCAAACTCTGTCCTGAACAGTGACCAATATTTCATAAACATTAATGTTTCAAGGGTTAATGTTACTAAATTCTGTTCTCCAGCAATTTGGTATACCACAGCGTAATTTCTGAAAATAGAATAAGGTCACTTGACTGACCTTATAAAAACAAGCAACTCTTTTATCAGTAGATTAAAATTTCCCTTGCTCTCTCTATAAAATTGTACATTAGATTTACATTTCAACATATTTTGCAAAGGGCCGAGATTGAGCAGGTCACTCTTTTTCCTGTGCTCTGAATTTCATCTACACAAACTACTCCCATGCTCTGAAAATCCACTTTGCTTCCCTTCTGTAGATCACCCAATGGTAAAGATGCTGTGAACCATACAAAGTTTCCAGCTGTACCATAAAACCTCACTGTCTTAAATTTAACCTATCACCAGTACAATTCTGTCCCTGCAAGCCGTTTGGCAGGGGTGCAACGGGTCAGGTCTCAGCTCCCATTCTGCTCAGTGAAGCAGGAGAAGGGGCAGAAGCCAGGCTGTCCTATGCTTGTTTGGGTGACTTTGCAAAGTTAAAAAGGGACGGAGTTTATTTCAGTCATTATGCAGATCTGACTATTGGCATAAATGGGCAACAAAATTCATATGTGAGTAGTGCAGTTTTACTCATGTCTAAGAATAGGGGTCGTAAAACAGGCTAATTTACTCTGAAGAAACCTACCAAGACTCATAAACCCATATTGAATTGCACCATCCTGTACCTGCAGCAGACTTGCACTTACCTCAGGGCACCACGTGAGTGCAGGACAACGCACTCACGCAGCATGTGTTCATCTCTCCATCTGTCATAGAAAAAAACCTAGATAACTAGTTTACAGTAATCCTGGATGATAGGACAAAAAGATGCCGTCTTACCATTTTCTTGCTGTCAAGCACAACTGAAAGGAATGATCCTAGAAATCCAGAAAATAAAGCTAATTACCACCAAATTTTAAAACATTTATTTCCTTCAACCTCATGCAATGCTCATTCAGTAAGAGACAAAGTTCTCAAATAATAATTCATATGGCTAAGGACATTATTGTGGTACAATTAATCAAAGTCTCACTCCCTGCTCTAGAATCAAATTCTCCCCTATCAAACAAGCCTTCCTGTTTGGGACAGTTAGTGTTCCACAAGCTTGCATGTTACACCAGCTCACAGAGTGCACGCTTAGAAGGAGCAACAAGAATGAGACAAGTTATACCTTACTCAAAAAAAAAAAAAAATCCATGCAAAAAGCACTCTCAATATCAATATTTAGACAAGATCTGATTTAAGCTTGTATTCTGGATTGGTTTTTTTCAATTACTAGCCATTCTGGAATTACTTCAATACCCAAAAATAAATTTTTGAATGCATGTACATATGACAGTCATTTTTATTCCCTGAAACCACTTAATTCTAGTTTTCAGATGCAGGTTTGCAATGATTTTCATATTATTATAATTATTGTTAATGCCTGCTTCCTTAAAAGTAAATATGACAGTTTTCAATTTTTTAACATTTTCAATAAATGGCTGTACAATTTTACAGAGGGATTTTGTTCACTTGGCAACTTTATTTCTAGCAGGACAATATTAAGCACATTTTGAAAATATTTATTTCAAAAGGTTCACAACACTCACCTCTTCTACTATTATTTCCTTTTGCAAAGGGAGTGAATTCAGAGGGAAGGACAGGACACCGGATTTCCCCGTTTCATTTTTATCTGCCATCTGAAACAATGTAAAAAGTAGTCCCGATGGGCACATGACAGGTTTGTCATCTCTAGAACTTCTCCTCCTAAGAGGGCCAGTTCAGTTCGCTGGCTATGTTAATTTCTTCTTCTAATTTCCCTGAGGTTAATGATAACATACAGAAGGGGAATGTACCTCTTCTGGTAACACGACTTCCAGTCTTGCCTGGTCATTTATGACGCAGTGAAATACGATGATCCTAAGGCCAGGGTCCGCATCCAGCGAAATCTTCTGGCTTCCTTCATGGGATCCTTTCACTGTAAATGTAAGCTCCTGGTCTAAACACAGAGGCAGGGAACAAAGAGAATTTTAGCTATTCCAAGCAAACACACATAACTAATAAATAAAAGCCACTTCTATTCTCCACACTTTTTGTCTGATTTTCCTTACACCATGATGATTAAGTAGACTTTGGGTGGCCAAAACAGGTTGAAAACTAATAGAAAAAATATTGGTGGATATGCAGAAATCATTAATATACAGAAATCACATATTTTTTAAAATACTGTAGTGTGCTATTTGGTAAGTGCTTTCCATGAATAAATAAAACCAAGAATTAGATTTAAAGGAGTCTCAGTTTAAAGGCATTTTGGATTATTCACATTGAACAAGAGAGTCATTCATTTGATGTCAGTCTGTTCTGGTGTGTATATTTTTTGTATGTTGTGCCTGCTACAACCGTCAAGTGATTCAAACCCAAAAATCAAGCAGACTACTTGACACATGCCCTCATGTCACCAAAACTGAAACAACCTGTCAACTCAAGGGCTGTGTTCCTTGTACAGAAAAGCCTTTACGTTTACAGAGAGATCATACGCTGTTCTCTTGCAAGATCTGGGCCAAGAGGCATGTTATTTTATATCACTAACCTTTCCTCTCTGTTACATTTCAGTCTGAAGCTTCCTGTAATGCAACCCAGCCATTGCTACCAATTTCTTCATAAAGGACAATTTTTTGTTCATGAATTATGAGCAGTTTTACACAGGTTACTGTTTATTTGAATGAATTTACAAAACTAGTGAAGTCCTGCTATATTTGTTAGAGCTACATTTTACAGTCAAAGTCCTCATTTGGTGGTGGTTTGCATTTTGTACAGAACCCTTTGATACAATTCTAAATATAAACTTAAGTGCTTAAGTTTATTATTTTTTACTCAAGCAGTCAAAAAACCCCCTCTTTTAGAACCCTGAACATGCAGAAACTTTGTACATACTGGAACCAAAAATAAGCATACAGGATAAGATTTCTACATATTATTTTAATTATAAGATAATTTTAAAAGAAGATCCTACTTAGTTAAAAATTTTCATGTTGAACAAGCAATAATCAAAAAGTATTAATATAATTTTTTCCCCAATTTTTAGTTCTACTATAGATATGGCTCTATTTTTGCATCATTTTAAGATTTACCTCAGAACTAAATACTTGACTAACTTGAATTTTGACAGATATAATCTTTCTGCAAGGTGGGGCATGGCGAAACTAAGTATTATGTGACACAGCTAGAGTAATACGCACAACCAATTACTAATTTTTCAACATCTGTTATAACAAGTGAATCACAACACAAAAACAATAGGGCAATGAAGCAATAATCTCACTTGTGGATTGCTGCTTCAGCTTCCCCGTATCCACTCTAACCTCCAAACAGGAAACCTCACGTGCCTGTAGCAAGAGAGGACAAATGATGATTGAGAGAAGTGTAAATGTCGTTGCAAATGATTCACACCGTTCTCAACCAACCCCTCTAGTTGGTCGATGAGGAACACAATTATTATCTATTACTATATGCCTTCAGATAACATAAGGGCAATACTGACATGGTATTTTTCCTAAGTTTGAGAGTAAAGAGGGGCAACTCATGAGCTGCTTGACCTTGAAGAGACAGTTGAGACCCATTCAAAGTAATAGGTGTATTGAGATATGGGACCCTTCTTATGAGCATTTTATCACTTTCTTCATTAATCCTTAATAGTTCTGGGTGTAATGTGGGAATAATGGGTAGGAAACTCAGGTTTATAGAAGAAGGTAGGTGGCACATGCATGCTGACAGCAGTCTCAGAGCATGCCTTTGCAGAAGGTGGCAACACACCGGAGCGATGGGAAAACAGTGATCCTTAGTGCCAACAACAGATCCTTTTTCTCAGCAGGAAAGTGTAGCTGATAGTACCGGCTTTGGGACACAGCTCAAAGTTTCCAGAGTTAAAAATATAAATATTTGTTATGTAGGCACAGGAAAGATAGTAAGAAATATACATTACCACTAGTACTCCATTAGTAATAATGCCATCAGGGTAGTCCAGACTGAAAAATAAAATGGAAAAATATAACATCATGAGTGGGACAACTCAGATAATTATTTAAGTATATGAGTTAACCCATTACTCATTTTCCCCCCATCAACTCTGACATTTCTGACTTTAACATTCTCATCAAAAATACTTCGAAGTTTTTATCAAGAATAGTTTTAGATGACAAGCCGAGTTGCAAGTTCTTCCATCCACCCATGACAGAATATGAAGCTGGGCTTCTATTCCTGTGGTTTTTTCATACTTGCTTTAGTAAACCATGTAATGAATTCTGCTATGTGACATACTGAGTGTGAGGAGAGCTGGAGGCTGTTACATCCATCTTGATTGTTCTGATCATTTCACAGTTTGATCCAAGGTTTTATACTTGAAAAACTAATACACTCATCTAGATTTCCACAATTTTCAAAAGATTTCTGTAACAGTGTAAGAAATTGCATTCACCCCTATAAAGTGATTTGCAAAATGAACATGAGATTCTAATATATCACTGTATGTGTAGATGTGCTTCCACTTATCCATCTAGGTGCAGAAGTGCACTCATATACCACAGACACCAACTTTTATATTCTTAAATACTTTTTCCACAGAAAAATCAGTCAATGTCTCACTATGGATATCTTATAATTGAATTTTATTAAATTTCAGATGTAAATTTATACAGTATCTTAATTACCCAGATTAGTCCAAAAGGAATACATACATACATAGAATTATAAAGATTGGGCACTAACTCCCCAGCCTGCTGCAGACAGTATGAGCTGCTTATTCAGACTTTACAAACTATGGATTATGCATTCTGTAGTCTCACATAGTTATGCAGATGAGATATGTATTTCATCTCAGCTGAAAACAGGAAATATGCTTCCTTTAAAGTCAGATGAATTACATTATTATCCATTTTAAGAGCAGGTTTATCACAGCTATTAGATGTCAGTATAAACACACATGAAAATAACTGTGTAAAATTTCCCATGAGAAAGAATTTTTCCCAAATTTCAAAGCTCATAAAGAGTTTAAAGTTTTATTTCCAAATCAGTATTTTCCATTAAGAGAAAAATATGAACTGGCTAAATACAATGCTGAATATAGAGGAAAAAAATTCCAGCTAAAAACTAAAACAAACCAAAAACCAACACACACTGCCGCCCCTCCCCCCCCCCCCAAAAAAAAAAAAAATACACTGGAAAAAATAATTTTATTTAGGAATTTTGTGGGATCTTTTTTTGAAAGCATATTTTAAAAGAGTTCAAAGAAAATTGGTCAGGAATGGGCAAAAAATACACAGTGTTTCTACCTGCATTCAGGGAAATGAGTTTAAGCACCACTCAAGTTTTGTTTCAGACACAAACTTTTGCACTTAATTGCTATTTTGAAGTCAAATAGTTGTAACATTATATGACATATGGTGTCACTGTCCTCAAATACTTCATCAAAAAAATTAAGGAAAGCAGAGAAACAGTATGGTGTATATTAAAAGACCCCAGCCTGCATAGCTTGGTGAAAAGAAGGTGGAAAGACAAGAAAAGATGTCTCTTCACGGAGGTAAATATCCAGTAAAGTGTAGTATTATCTGAGGTATCAGTATAAGCAAAGTGTAAGCTTAGGCTGATAGTTAGGAGGTCCAAGGCATGACCTTCAAACAGGGTGGAAGAACCTGCACTGTTGGACAAAACGGCTTGGAAGGCTCTTGGGAAGAACCAGGACAACACAAATATTAAAGAGCAACAGCTGAGGTGTCCCTCTTGGGGTGTCACCTCTGCTGTCATTGCTGTAAGGAAACTGCCAGTTGTTGGCTGCTCTCCACACTGCACTTCCAACTTTTCTATCCCAAATTTCAAGGCTTCTGATGGTCACAGTGTAAGACAGATGGTTTTCATTTTGAGTTTTTCAACCTGGTGATCCATATGCTTGTTTTAAGAAGAGCAAAGGCACTCACCTTTCTCTGAAGCGTTGGGGATCAGCTGTGGCTAGAAGTACAGCTGAGCTGGGTGCAGAAGAGCTCTTACTATTCAGGTTGGCAGGGACATTTTAATATTTTTGCCTGTCTTTGGAGCACTGAATAACATCCACTTCTCAGGACTAGCTGGTAATTTCCCTAACAACCAACCTGCTATTAGAAAGCCCTTGTTTCACATACTAACACTCCCATCCTCTCCTCCATCACAGTTTGTGATCTGTAGACTTTTTTAATGCAGACCCCAGTTCTACCATGAGAATTTGGAGAATATTATGGCCTGTGGCAGGGGAGGCCAGGAACAGAGACCCTGGGCATTCTTCTCCACTAAATGTCTATTGAAGGGGTGCCTAAAACTGCAGTGGATTCTGTAAATCCGGGGATCAGTTCCCAACACCTGGTACGCATCAAACTGCCACCTTCTCATTTTTAGATCATGCCTGACTTATAACAAAATAGGCAATATTGTATGGGAAGTTACAGTCACACAGATTCTCGTATTATGGTTCACACTTAGAGTAGACTACTGTGTTCCATTTCACTGGAAAACCTGTATTTTTTGATATGTAGCTGCAAGATTTTAATCCTTTCATGTCAGATCCAGCTTCCACTTCTTTTCATACCTTCCACATAGTGCAGGCTACTTTTCTGAGCTTTCTGATGACCCAAGAGAATAAGGGAGATGGTTCTATTTCAATTTAAAAAAAATATATATTCCCCTCAAAGATTCTTTGGTTGTCATCTTTCTTAACTTAAAATTTTGCCTTCAGTGATCCTTGAGGCCCTATGGCTTCCTGCCACAAACACAAATACGAACATTACATTTGGCCCCCCCATGGATGGAGACAGCCTGCTCTGAGATTTTCCTCAGCAGTGCCCAAACCAAATGGCTAGCATGATCTGCCGGTCCCCCCACACATGGGGGAAATTTCTCAAAATAACACAGCAGAACTACAGAAAGAAAAAAAAAGACTTTTATTTTCTAAAAATCATGCTTTTGCCATATTTCAATAATTAATATTTAACTTTTATACATCTTTTTTTACACCTATTTACATTTATTTGTGTTAACTGGGCTTTGTTTCAAACATTGTCTTTCACATTTGAAAAAAAGAAAAGGGAGGGGGAGCTGAGATAAAAGGTTGTGTAAGAGTGGTCCTTCATTCTTCTAAGAGTTGTTTGAGATGCACCTCCACAACTTGGGACATCTGCAAGATAGAAAGAGGCCAAAAAGATCAGCAGACCCAGCAAACACCCTGGGGCCCTCAGACCTCTCCTTGGAAACTCCAAGTACCTTTTGGGTCATCAGAAGTCTCTTTGTGGCCCCTCTATATCAGGTGTGGGCTTCAGTAGAAGTTGGAGGGGAGGGGGATGTTGAGTGAGCGAAGCCACCTGGTCCAGCGGGACTCCGTTCCTGTAGCAACTCGTACAGGCTCGTGCTGATGCTGGACCCTACCAGTGGAAACACAGGGGAGAAAGCCCACATTACCATTGGTAATCACCAGAAAATAACACAAAAAGCACTGAAGTACGCAAATCAGCAACCTGTGTACAACGACCTTACCTTTTCTGTCACTGCTGCTCGAGGGCAGCAGCTCTCACGCCAGCTGGGCTTGTGTTATGGGCCCATAAAACATTGGGCAGGCGTTTGCAATCCCTTGGCTCAGCTGCTGGTGAAAAGGCACTTGGAGGAAGGGGCATGCCTTCCTCTCTGTGTCGTTAGGATCAAACATCTGGCTCTCAGTGCCTGCCACGGGTAGTGGCAGCAGAGAGGTGACCATTTGCAGGTACTGCAGGAGTGGCCTAAGATTGAGGCAAAACTAGAGAGGGTATTCATCTTGCAGTTGTGGAAACCAAGCTACCAATCTGAAGGTTTTCTTCCATTTTAAATAAAAGATAATGGGAATGAAAGCAGGAACCAATTTCACACAGCCCAACAGTGTATTGTGAGGGGATTTGATAAAAGTAACACAAAACACGATTTTTGCAGTGAGGTCAGTAGGCAAACAAAAATAGAAGTGACAAAGCCACTATCGTAGGTGCAACCCAGGAAACTTTCTTGGCCTGAGATTATACTTCATGTGTGATATTATTCATCTGAAATGCTAGAAAGAAAGAACAGGCTAATATAGTAAATTTTGTAATTGGTAAAGTCTGGAATGAAGATGGGGAACAAATGAAAAACTAGTTCAGATAGAGTCAGACAAAATGTTCTGGTGGGAATAATTATTAATTTCCAGATATAAGCTGCCATATTTACCCCTTAAAAAGTATGTTCTTACTCCCATCACAATACCAGTCCTACATGGTTAGCAATAATTCTTGTTAGCACTACGGTTGACTCTCCCCCTCCGAAAACTCTCTCTAATCTCTGTCACCACTTATTCCATTCAGCAATGCCAAAAATCCCGGCTAAAACCTGCTGAGCTTGTTCAACACAGGAGAGATCGACTTAGTCCATAGCTTTCTGGTCACCCATCTCAGCTACTTCATTTCAGTCTTTCAGACCTTTTCAGGGCTCTTTATCACAGATAATGTGATACATAGTCTCCAATTTTAGTGCACAAACCCTTTAATTATTCCTGACATCACACTTTGTTAAAGGAAAAAGAAGAAACCTCTCAATATCCTACCAAAATCACAATTTTTAATCAATTCAGATGTGATTATACCTTTATTCCAGACTCGACGGATGGGCAGAACAGCATTGACCTCTACACATATGCAAGAAATACAAATGAGGGACAGTAGGGGAAATGTTTATCTGCCTTTTGACAAGAAGTCCATTTTCCCAGGGAAGCATCTTCCATTTTCTCAGTCCTGCTGGGACCCCACAGGGACATTCTCTAAATTATGATCAATCAATTTCTTCCCTTTGCATCTGGAGTTCTTCAGGCTACAACTATTACAGTGGTCACCCAGGTACCACACTATGAATGAAAAAAGTCAATCAGATGTGTCCTTGCAACTTGCAACTGAGCCATGGCTGTAACTCTTTCTAAAACCTCTTCCTTGGGACTGTCAAGGGTCCTTTTTATTTGTACAGTCCCAATCATCATCTCCCAACCAGCAGAATTCTTACTCTGCATCTGCAGAAATGGCTAAATTTCTGACATTTTCTATTGAACTCATCGCCAGGAAAAGGCAACTGGCTGCAAAGTCCAAGAGAAGAGTTTGGACACAGAGCCAGTGCGCACATGCTCCAAGACTAATTCCAGCCTCTGTCCCCATATGCAAACCCACTCCTGCACAACATCCAAGCCAGACAACCTAGCTGGACCTCCCTCACCAAAAGACAAGATTATCAAGATTATGATTCTCTGTACCAACTCCATAAGCCATCCTCTAACTTGCAAAGGAAGGAAGACCCTAGACAGGCCATTTGAGAGGTCTATTGGAGCTCCCTTCTTCATTGCCATTACTAATGTTGTGACACTCCTAAGCTGTGATAGGCATCATTTGTCATGTTGCTGGGCCTTCTGCCAGTTTTGGTGCACATTAAACAACAAACAATCCACCCTGGCGAGTCTCCGTGAGTTGTAATAACAGATTTTGGAACTTCTTTATCCCTGATGGCTTTTTTGCTTTTGAACACTGGAAGATCTTTCCTCCTCCATTCATAGCACTGAGCTACTGCCCTTTCTCCAACAAGTCCCAATTTCCCCTTTTGTCAGGAATAAACACGTTATTCAAAGTCTCCACCAACATATTATCCTGCTAGGTCTCCTGAAGTGCCCTGGATGTCCTGATAAGGTCCCAGAAATACCAGCCCTTCTCTAAGATTGTTTTAACACTACTTTCAGATAAATAGCATGGATCAAATTGGTAACAGAAACCCTTTCAAGTAAATTCCTCAGAGTCATAAAGCATATTATGGGAACAGACTAAATACCCGTGATCCCACACCAGAGTCTCTCTCCAGTTACAGAAACAGGCTCCCAGATTTCTCCACAGCATGAATTACCTGAAACAATCACATCCCCTTAATAGTAAAACTCCACCAACAGCTTTCAAGCCTACCAAGTGAAGCTAGTGCTGCTCCCCCAGTTTTCCTCGTTCCTCAGCCTCCCACAGTGATCTTTGCTCCTTACTTTATGCAGAATAATTCATTCCTCTCCCTGTTGGAGCTGATACTCAAGCCTACCACAGCTCCCCACGTGTAGTCAGATGAGCTGAACAGATCAACTTACAGGAGAGCATTTTATAATGCTGTGGATTTGAAAAACTAGATTCCCCAAGAAGGGGGAGAATGAGGCATTTATTCTTGCCAGTCCTTCTTCTAAGGGTCAGAAGTTCCTGAACATTGTAATTGCCCTCATACTTCCTCGGGTATTGCTTCAGTGACAAAAACAGAACAGGAGGAAGTTGATGCCCAGGAGGTAGCAATCAAACAGGGCAAAAATTACATTTTCAGATATTTAAAATCTAAAAATATGTATTCTGAGATTCCAATTTACAAGACTCAAATGTAAACATCTAAATATTGCTTTCAGGAACTGTAGGTGTAAGAAGCACTGTCACATATGAACCAGATTTCTAGACTATTTTTATACTGAATACAACAGTTTATTAAGAATTTAGGACTCTACTCACGTGTTCTGCAATGTGAATTCCACCTCCAGCTCCTCACGTGCCTGAAGAGAGGGCAAAATGAAAGAAAGGTATATTACTTATTTTTCTTCAGAGATTTCATCATACCAGGTACATATAATTTGTAAAATATATATTTAGAATAGCACTTAGAAAAATTCCCAGAACATAAGAATAATTTGCCAAAAAAACCCCATGGTGCCAACTGAAAATACTGAATTTTAAGATACTGAAAAAGTAGTTACTAAAACTAGGTTTTTTGAAATGTGAATGCCATATAAGCATGCAGATGTAGGAACTGCTATTCTGCTAGAACAGCCATTTTTCATATTTTAATTCCCAACACAAAAAGAATCAGCTGCTTTAATATTATTACAGCTTAAAGCAGCTGAAAATTCAGAACTTATACCAACAGCCAACAAATATGCCAGAAATATTCAGAATTAAGGCACCGGGTAATTAATTCTAGCTGTTCCATCCTAGACTTTTATCAGAGAGATTTGTTCCTAAGAAAAATTAGCATGGAGCGCTCGTAGAGGGATTTTAAGTCTTATAATATCAGAAAAATACAGTTTAAGTAGATTTTTCCTATAATTCAACACTGTAAAAAGATATATTCAGATGGAAGGAAAAAATTTGCTTTTGTTCTCACTAATTCCACTGTTCACCTGTGGATTCAGCTGAAACTTCACTCGAACAGTACGTCCTACAGTGAGTTTATCTATGTCAAAGAGAACTGTGCAGAGTTCATCATCCCTGGTGACCGTGTCTTCATCACAGACCTTTAGCTCCAGCACATTCTGCAAAAAGAGATAAAGAATATCATGGAATTATTTCTGTATCTAAGAGCTCCATAAGGCAGGAAAATCTCAAAACCAGATTTTTCTCCATTCCCTCTCCAGTTTTAGAGGGAGAAGGAAAAAGGAGAAAGAGAAACAAAAAAGGGAAAGAGATTTGGGAGTATTAGACCTCATGTTACTGATACTGTACATAGCAGGCTTGTCTGCCTGGGGAAATGAAACAAGACAAGCAGGTCATTCAGAACATTCATGAATTTTTGATAACAACTGTATTAAATGTTTCTGCATTTATTTTATGGCCTTTGGCTCTAAGTATATAAAACAGACACAGGTAAATAAAGAATATTTAAAGGATTTCTTTTCCACCATACCTAGAACTAGCTGATCTTACTATTATTTTCATGTGATCTTTATCTTGGGTTTCACTTCTATATGTCAAGATCAGGAATAGGACAGTACGGTCATATTCTGCAGGGCATTTAATTGCTTCTCACTGCTTCAATACAGTAGATGTCTAAGTAACAAATATTGTTCTGGAACAGAACAATACCAAGGAGGATGTAAGCAACAGAAGCTTTTCTGAGAAATTAACACCTCCGGTGTTTGGAAACTAGCTATATACTTATTGTTTTATTGTAGTTTTGCATAATCTACCAACTATCTGCAAACAGCAAGTGGTGAAAACCATTTATCTTCAACTACCTTGACTCGGCGGTCGATCTTATAGCAAAAAGCTTCATTCCAGACAGGGTTTTTGCTGTTCCTGATGGTTCTGGTCCGAACCTTCTCTGTTGAGGCTGTAGGCAGCCACAGTGTCACATAACAATCTGAAAGGGTGACTGTATAACAAGATGAACAGAGTGATAATGTATCCAGAGAGAGAATTATTGCACTGTTCACATTTAACACTCATAAGACAAAGATAACATGGTAGGGAATTTCTTCCTGAAGTATATAGGCTGGGGAGTAAATAACACAATGAAGCACTCACAGGAAAACAGAAACATCCTCACATATTTGCCATGCTCACTCTCACCTTTTCACTTTTAGTCAGACTTACTCTTCTTTTAAAACTTTACTTTATATTTGAAATAGCACATGCAGTACCTGCACGTTTATCCATGATGCACTTAGGTTTATGTTCATGACTATCCAAAAGACTAGGGCAAGGTGATGTTGACAAATCATGAGAATATCTACCGATATATGCCCTCTGCCACACGCACTCACATCAGCTCTAGGATGGCTCCTCTGCTGACCAGGCAACACACCTCACAACCTTCAATCTGGGCTGCAGAGAGATTTGTTTTCTAGCACTGACTCCCCAGATTTGGTATCTCAAACTAATGGAAAGCCTTTATCAAAGTGCTGGCTTAAATGAAGAACAACAGATTTATTTTTTTTTTTGCCAAAAAGTAAAATGTTCCCCTGTTAAAGCTGAAAAGTTTTATTTCCTTATCACAAATCAGAATGTGCCAATTTCATATTCATTCATATATTTGACAAGATTTTTACAAGTTGTGTCTTTCCCAGCAATCTTCTTGGAAAACAAAGGCAGTTTCAGCACCATGGTTAAATTACTATTCATTGTATTCCTTCCTACTACTCTACCTGCAGACTGGAAAAATCCTGCCATCATTCATGTCTGGGGAAGGAAACTGTGAGTGCCACCAAAGAACATCAGCTCCTTCCATATGCTGACCCCTCATGTTTGGAGGGACAACCCAGGGAGTGAGACTTGCAGGAGCTTGATAGAGGCACTGATGGCCTTTCTCTCATACCTATAATGCAAGGCATATTCTCCCTATTTCATGTTAGCAATCCTCAACCAGTCATCTGGTTCTTACAGCGACCCTGTGAGTCAGAACAGGTCAAGTAATTGCACCCATAGTCAATTCTTGCCTCATGCTCAAAACTTGTGACAATATTATTACATCATATTAAGTACAATTTTCTTCACGTATTTCCTCTTTATCTTTCACTAACAATTACAGATTTAGGTTTTGCTACCAGCCATAATTTTCCCAAGCTGTACCTTTATGATGTAGTTAACCACGCTATCACAATCAGCAAAACCTTGAAAATGACTGTGGGAAGGAAAGCCTTCCCAGAAAGTGGCCTTATCCAAACCTGATCAGAAGAGCACAACTGGTAAGGTGTTCAGCAGAGGCACAGGTGTAGGCAGATAAAAATGCAAATGGTAAATGGTGATTAATGCTACAGCTTCCATTTTCAAAGGACTTGAGACACACTGATGAATTACTTCACAGTGGCAATAAGGATTAAGCAAATAAGTACATTGAGAAAACTCAGATGATCTGCCCAAGATCCCATAATGCAGTCAGTGTCAGTGTCCAAAACACATTCTAGATTTCCAGGCTTGTACCCAAATCTATTAAAAATTATTGTGCTCTGGAACAACAGTAGTGAGAAATACATTTAAAGCATATTTATTTTTCACTGGTGAAGTAAATAGGAATATGAGAATCAAAGACCAAGAAGAAAGATTCACTTCAATAAATTAAGAATGAAGGTTTCACTAACTAGAAAATATGAAAAAACAAAACAAAACAAAACACTGACATGGGGAACTGCAAGGTTTAATAAGAAAACCAGGAAAGCTAAAGTGGCAGAAATAAATGCTAAGTAAGAATTGTAACAAGCAGAATACTGTTACCATTACAAACTGGTAGAAAGGGCTGTTTTCCTGTAGTTGAAAATTCTGAGGTTTCAAGGAAAAATAACAGAAATGTTTGTCTTTTTAATGCTTCAGAAAAGGTAAAGACTGCCTGAAATATCTTTCCCACTGCAGAAAAATATTGAACAGGTTATCATAATTTGAGTTTCTTCAGAAAACAAATTTTCTTCTGAGACAATACTCTTCCTGAAAAGTTTTGAAATCTCTCTGCCAGATACACTTTAAACAAATCCTTGGGATGTCCAATTTCTGAATTCAGGGTATCCCAAGGGGATAAAGATATGATATTCATCTGTTATTGAGACCAGAATACAAGGCAGGAAAGCAATATGATGTGGCAGACATGCCAACAGGCTTCATGAAGAAAGACCGTACGATTCACTGCGGTAAGGAGTGACTGAGCAAGTCATTCCAGAGAAGGACAGCCACAACAAATTGAAGCATAAACAGGCGACCTGGTGGAGTACACAAATGCACATGCGATTGTGCATGCAGGTTTGATGCAACTGCAGTGACTGCCTGGCCAGATCACATATTTGGTTGGTGCAAGTCACCACGCAGGCATTTGAACACCTAGATTTTGTAAAATAAAAAGTCATGCATACAACTATAAGCCCACAAAGCGTGTGCTTTTCTACATAAAAATAGGTCCTTAATCTCTAAGAAACCTTAGATTTTTTAAGATGCTCTCACTTTGTCCAATGAACCAAATACCTTTTTCAAAATGACACAATAAATACCATAAAACAAAACAGTTTGATCATCTATCATTTTTAGAGTAAAAAATACTAAGGCATAAGCAGTAAACAAGTCATTTAGTAAATCAGAGCAGAATTTTTAAAGCTGGGAGATAAAAGGAAAAATATAAATATGCACAGTAGTATTACATTGCAGAAGACACAGGAGTAACCCAGAATGCCACAAGTAACTGCAGCAGGGATTTGTTCCCTGATAGTAATCACTCATTCAAAAATACTGTTGTTGTTAAGCACAACTTCCACGTGTTCCAACCACATCCCTCCTGCCAGAAACCACCAAATCCAACCTCAGATAAGTTTTCCCTCTACTCTTGATCCATCACACCAGTTAATATACTATATATTTTGAGATTTTTAACTAAAATTTTCAGCTGGTTTCCTTGGAAACTATGATGCACTGCATGAAATATTGAGTGTACCAAAAGAAAATTAATTTTGAGCCACATTCAGCAAGATTTTGAGGAATATACTGCAGACTTTTCTTTGCTTTACATCTTTCCATTTTATTCTTGTGGTCTTTATATTTGAATTTTCTTATTCTCTTTGTCTTTATTTCATCTTTTTCTTTCATGCCTTTCCAACCTCTTTAGCAGGATGTTTCACCATTCAAATTTCCCCATGAAAGTGATTCAGTGGCATAATTGCATTTTGAAAGGCACCTGAACAAGCCCCAGTGCACCCAGGACGGTGGGTTATTGAGGATCCACATCTGTGAAACAGAAGTTGTGAGAAATCTCCTCAATGAATTGAAAAATTCAGAATTAAACCAGTCCCTCCCCTGGGTGAGTCAGTGTCACATCTGGACAGCACACAAACTGTTTTTTCCACATATTGCAAGTCTCATTCTCCCACCAGGGAGTTTAATTTTAAATTTCCTACCACACTGGTTCAACAAGCCAATGCCAACTAGATATCACCAAACCCTGTAGACTTCCCTACAGTAGAGATTTATTCTATCTTGGGCTATTCTCACTATTAACCTTTGTTCTGTGATCCAGCTAAGACATTTTTATCCTGCAGTCTTTATTCTCGCTTCCTGTCACTATCCCTGACTTAAATTACTTTAAAACTCTCACAGCAGTTCTCTGTTTATTTTTTTCTGACTTTTAAATTGCTCCACTCCCTAGGTTAAACAAATTCCTAGACACACTGGATTTTATAATCTTTTATTGCATATTTATAAATTCTGCAGAAGCAATACAATGGTTTTGCTTGTACTTCTGGTATTTTCATAGACTTTCCTATTACTGCTGACTTGACATTTTCATCACTAGTCCTCTCCTTTCTTCTGTCCAGAAATTCTGTAGGGAATACTCAGGTTTTTTACTCAAAAGTACAAGCATTTTCATCATTTAAAGAGTAGCCCACTGATCAGCAGCTACGTCTGATGTCACAAGGGTAGGAAATACATCTCAGTGAGGTACGAAAGCAAGAGATCAAATGCATCACCTTGCTTGAGTTAGCCTCTTTACACTTAAAAGCAGAAAGCAATGCTTCAGTATTATAATAAAAATAATTCTTACAAACTTGCAGCAATATATATTTTTTTTTTTATTCCTACACAATTTAAGAGCAATAACATTGACCAAATATTTTCTTTACTTTAAAGAATTATAAGAAACGTGCAACAACAGTAGAAGTACTCACGCAAGTCTGCCTTCCGGACATTCTTCACCCTTAGTATTTTTACAGTGAGCAAGTTGAAAGGAGATACTGGTCTCTGCACGGCAATTCAAAAAAAGAAAAAAAGACAACATTGAGATTAATATTATAGCCTATAGTCACAAAATAGGAAAAACTACACAAATTTTTGGCACAGAACCCTTTTCAGGTCTGAAATAGAAGCAATAGATTTCAAAACCACATATGAATTGAGAATAGGTGCTGAGAGTTTGATTTGATAAAGATCAATTCTTGTTAACACCACTCCATTATTATCACAATAAACACCCACAGAGCACATGCACAGGTGTCCTCGCCTCTTACACACCACTGCCTGCAAGAGAAAAAACTGTCCCTGGGACACCAAACACTGTCACAGCAGCTGTGCAAGCAGAGCTAAGCAACCACCATGCACCAGCAAAAGCTCCTGCACCAGCACAAGCTCCTGCACCCAGCCTAGAAAGCCAAAAATGCAGCTGACTGATGACGTGACATATTTCTCATGAAGACTCAGATCCATCTCTGATCTTCAGCCCTGATCCCCAGAAGAAAGCTACAAAACTCTTTCCAGACATGATCTTGGGAATTAACTCACCACTCCACTAAATGTCAGACACCTTGGCCTCAGAAATATTAATTCTATAATACCTCGTAACTTCCATGGCTCATACTAATATGTCTTCATATTCCTTAGGCTACAAATTAACTCTTTCCCCACTTCACCTTGGAGATAACTACTTAACATCTTTCTCTTCTCTCCCATACTAACATCTCCTCTGTTTCATAGGTACCATCTTTCCTTTTAAAACAATGTATGTACAGATACCATTTCTCTCAACACATGCTTAAAATTGGTATTTAGCTTTGAGACTACTCATTCTGTTTTAGAACAGAAACAGGTGTTTTGAGCCAAAAAACTTGTCTAATCTTTCTATCTATACCAGTTGGTAAGAACAGATATTAAGTCTTCCCATAAGTACTCCTACTCCTGCATTTATAGACATCCAATACACTAGTAAAGTTAATACCATGCCCTAACACAAACAAGTTTATTACTTTGCATCTGAAGTGCCTGTATTAACCATAAGCAGCAAAAGTAAAAACGGTGTACTGATGTTAACTAATAAAATGTACCTTGTTACTATTTCCTTCATACATGCTACACATTTTGCTGGACCATTTGTCTCTCCAGCTGTAACATAAGGCTCACCCTGAAGCATTTCACAATGCTTTGACAAAGTGTTAATCAACTGGGACCACAGCGTGACATTGGGCACTAACACAATGTAATAAAGCAGGTCCTTGTCCTCACCAACGAACACCTCATCACCTCTGTAAATGCAGCAGAGGTGAACAGCTGCCTCCAAGAAACAGCCTGGGCAACCCCTGGCATATCCTCTTGCACTTCCCTTTGGGTCAGCAAGAGGCCTGAAGATGCAGGGCTGAAGGTCAGCGAGACAGCAGCAGGAGGATCAGAGCAGTCACCAACACAGGCACATTCAATGTACATTATTTTAACCTGTCCAGACTCTAGTGCAGGGCACAGTTTTATGGTGTACTGTTTGCAACCACTTGAATTGTCGGCTGTGAGACACTGCAGCTGTCTCAGAGTTTATCACACCTCTACCTGTTCCATTATCCCAAACATGGCCCTAAAGGAGAACTTGGACAGACGCATCTTGAAAGAAAAAAAAACAGTTCTTTTGGAAAAGAAAAATATTACCATCTCAAATCAAAAGCAACCAAAACACATCATGCCCAGACTATATAGTTGAACTGCCAGAAGTAGAACTGTGTAAAACACAGCAGCACTCTTAGGCACAGGGACCAACAGCCAAGGCCTGTCTATCCATGCCAAATCTACTGACAAGTTGCTTTCTCACCCAATAAATCCTAAATATTTTTGTCCTCAGCAGCACTATTTCAGCAGAAGAGGTGAGGCATGTCTTTACCCAGGAAGGATGGGGCTTGCATCCCTTGAATACAGAACAGCCATGAGCAGAAGTTCCCCATCCCAGGGAACTGCTATAACAACTAGGCCTGACACCATTTTAAGGGAATAACCTTTGCTCAGCTCTCTGAAAACAAGCATCTAGACCTCTACTTTGCACATCTCAAGTGGACAGTGGTATCTCCCTGCAGCCCTAAGTGGCACACAGAGATAGGATTTAAGAAGGGGTTTTCTTTGCTCAGCTGTCCCTGTTAGCTGGACATACTTATGCAGTTCCCTGCTCACCTGTTAACATTCCCATTCCAGTGTAACTCTCCAAACATACCGAATCAATCCTTAGTGCTTCACTCTGGGTTGCAGAGTCCATTCCCATACTAGACACATGGAAGTCAGACCTTATAGCTCCTAACTTTTAGGTGCATGAATGCTTTCTCAAGTCTAGCTGTCAGCAACTCACTCAAAGTCACACAGAAAAATTATTGAGGGGCATATCTTAAACAGGATAATCTGCTAGTAATAGGCAATGACTTCCACATCTTTCCTTTTAATGTGATGATGACCATATCGCAGGCTGGGTAAGTTCTGAGGCCAGAAGCCTCCCAGGTCAGTTATTACACACACTTCGACTTTCAGCTTCTGTATTTATTTCATCTGAGACATGATTGTTACCTCATAAACCGGAAACACAAGCCAGGCATTTTAATAACCACTGTTGAAACTACTTAAATATATGAGATTGCAAACGCAGGACTTGGTCACACTATCCTACGTCAGATAAAAGTTCAATTAAATCCTGTGGCACACTTGTGCAATCCTTACATATCTAGTCCCAGGGGAGTCAATAGGAGTGTTCATATATGTGAGTGCTCATCCATATGTATATGAGTTACGTAACTGGGCTCAAACCTGCTCCATTTCAGTAAAATTCCAAGCTTAAAAGTCTTTTGTAGATTTTTTTTTCTTGAGGAGACTACAGTGAAAAACATACAACATTCACACGTTACACCAAGAGAAAAGGCAGGTAAAGTAAAACACCGTCTCAGATTTATTTGGAGCAGAACACTCCTCTCCCTTAGCTTTCTCTCTTCAGAAAGGGATAGAAATCTCACCACTACTTTAAAAATCATGAAGATCAACAACAACAAAAAAAAAAAAACAACACTCAGCCCTGTCAGAAAGTGAGGCAGGACTTTAAAATACATATCATTGCCTTGCTTCTGACCTGAGTCAGGTACATGGCACCTTTTAATTTCAAAGAGTTTTGGAGCCTCAAGGGCAGGCAGGATTTCATTATGTTACTATGCCTAACAGCTCAGGCAAGGTCAAATGTGTAAGAAACACTTTTCCTTGTACTACATGTTTTGTATTTATTTCACCCATTTTAAAATATCCCATAGCTTGGTCTTATTAAGTCAGTAGAAGTCATTGGGGTTCTGGGAGAATAAAAACAAATAAAAAGCAGCAGTGACTCAAGGCCTGTTTCTTTCCAAGAGCTATGTAAAACTTCTGTGGCTTTTAACTGCCATTTTAATGTGATTTTTCTCTTCCTGTTTGCAGCTTCACAGCTGGACTTACAAGATTTGTATTTGTTCTAACATGCAAGAGAAACCAAGTCAAGCATTTCCACAGTTCAACATGAGTGTTTCTCAAGACCACACAAGTGTATTATTTTTAGACGATACAGTAATTTGAGTAATCTAAAAAGTACTATTTTTGTGCCTGTCAGCTTATGGGCACCACCACCATTTTCTCATCAAATATTTTACATATTCCCTTTAATTTAAATGGTCACTCAAGTTTAAATCACACACATCCCATGGGTTGCTGTTAAACTGATTCTGATAATGAAAGCTGATCTCCTTAACGGATCAACTGAGTAACAAAAAACAACTCAGATATACTTTGCACATATATTTATCATTGTAAATACCAACTTTCATGGTCAAAGAAAAAAAAGCTCAGGTCCTTCCTGAATTTTGCCTCTGTAAATCTCAAAGAGTCAGGGCAGAAAGAAGGGGCTCTGGGTCCTACTCTAAATTATATGTACTATATTCAGGTCAGTTCTGCCACCCTAAATACCCTAAAGACAAGAGACACAATCTTAACCCACTGAACTGTACAGGCCTCACACCTAGAGACCTACTAATAATGTAAAAAGCACTAAGAATAAGAAAAACAAAAACAAAAACAACACAAAACAAAAAGAAAACAACAAGAACAAATTTTTTAAAAGACAAAAAACATCTTGATCCTCTAAACAGAGGCTAAGTTAACAGGACCAAAATTAACAATTTTTATGATTCTATCATACTTCCTTAGGGCTGCAAGACTATACACAGAGGCCTAAACATAATTTTAAAAGCTACTTTTTGAAGAAAACTCTGCAAAGTCTTTATTTTATCACAGGACTTCACTTTGAACAGAGAAGGTAAGTGGCTCTCAGGCATAATCAGGCATGAGATACTATCAGTAACAGCAAGCCTTCATGAGGCAGACCAAATTTACCACCATTTGGGACAATCTCTATATCACTGCAATCCCCCACATGGAACCACCGCCCAAAACAAACCAGGCTGGGAAACGCCCTCGCCACTGAAGCAGGGGCAAGAGCCCATCCTTCCAACTACAGGTCCCCAGAGAGTTGCAACTGATACAGGCAGCCCCAAACCCATCACACATGTCTGAAACAGCCCCATGCTGTTGCCACTGCCGTTGTTCCTATTCGCTGGCTCATAGCAGCTTATGCGATATATTCTCCTTTATGCTAATAGCTGTTAACATGAACATCTGCTAATTGCCCAATGAGTTTTCATTTGCCTGTGCAAAGAATTCATCCTCATTTCAGCCCTTACAAAACACCTTGTTGCTCTTTTTTTACGTTCAGAGAAGTGCAGGCACTGCTCCCACTCCTACTGGGCTGATGAGTTTGGGCTTGTCAGGAGGCTGAACACAAGATGTTTTTTCCACAATTTTACCTGTTCTGATACAGTGTTTTTGAACGCCATGTTACACAGAGAATTGCAAGCTCTACAAAAGGTCATTACAGTGCAAAGAAAGACTATCAAGAATACTAGAGCACTAAGAACAACTGAAAGACCCACTTAAATGGAGTCTCCTTATGAAGGAATAACATATAGGACAAATGTGTGCTTCATCCAAAGAAATCAAAACACAAAAAAAGGGAGGAATTCAAAAATTAATATAGGTGAAGTACAAACCAGCCCAGATACAGCGCGACACCTACTAACAGCATCATAAGCATCAGACACCAATAGAGTCCAGACTATTTAGAGTTCACTGAAAGCCAAGGCAATATTTCATCTACAGAGTTGAAGTCGCAGCTCAGCTTTTCAGTGTTCAGTAAATATTGCAGTACAGATTTCCCCGGAGCCATTGAATTCCTAACATTTTTTCTGATGATCTACATTCAGCACTGGACAGCATATAATGAAGGGCCAGCTAATTACTACCTACCGTTCTCACCGCTGGTGCTGAAGTGCCCGTAAAAGTCTAGGAAAAACAACACAAGGCAAAGTTAAGAAAACTAAGCTACATGTTAAACTCTTATTTTAGGCTGACATTTAGAAATGTCTCACACTCAAAGCCATACTTAGAGCTATGCTCATTAACAACACTCATTAGGTGCTTTACCGACCACCAAACCCATCACAACTCCGTGCCAACATACTTTCTTGACATGAAGCTTTATTTTTAAGGAAGCACAATAAGTAACGTTGTTACCCCTAAAACATAGCTTGAAAATGCAGATATGCCACAAGGTTCTGTAAAAGACTAGACTAGGAAAACCATCCTTCCAACCATGAGATCTGAGGAACAGCAAACTTGCCTTCCATGGATTGTCCATACACCTTAAACAGCTTGTTCTCCTCTGTCATCAGCTTAACTGGAACATCAGACAGTTTTACCCACTTTATGATTGCTATTGGCTTCTTTTGCTTACCTCATTTGAACTTAAATTTGATCCCATTGCAGCCCCAGTTGCATGGAAATCCAATGTTAAAAGATACCGAGTCGTACAGCTGGCAGGAACTCCTCATGCAGATTAGGGGTGGAGGAATAGGGAATTTATGACCAGGCTCTCCCGCCCCACCCCTTTATTATTTCCAGTCATCAGACAGTCCCCTCCCTGCTTCCTGCAGCCTATTAGAGCACCTCAACTGAGTCAGCATAACAAAGAGCAACTTCTTTTCAACCTACTATGATGTTTGTGGGGACACTGAAGCTCCATTCTGCCCAGGGATTTTCTTGAAAATACTATTGCTGATAGAAGTTTTGCATTTATGCAACAACAATAACCCCCAAGAAAAGCATCTGTGACTAATTAAATCTTAGGTCTCAGAGTATCTCTACGCTGCCACCATCATACAGCAGGGTAGCGGAGAGAGATCTCAACAGCTTCTTTCCAAACCATGAACTCAAATACCTGTAGCAGTCTTCCCATAGCAGCACACAGTTCAGCAAGGTAAGTGACCCCATTGCAGTGCCACAACTAAGTGACTGCAGGGCCCATGCTCCCCTGAAGCTACTCTGGGCATCTCTCTGCTACTCTCAGTGACTTTGCCACGTGCTCAGAATTCTTTGCCTGGATATTTAGTGCATATTCAGAAGAAAAGTGAATCCATGTCAAGGACTCTTGCAGTTTGATTGTTAAGTGCAAGGAGAGGGAAGGGAGGAGTTATAAGTGGTAGGTGAAACTTGGGGGTGGAAGGGTGAGGCAGGAGAGGGTTGCGCGCTCTTGCGTGAGCCCAGGGAGTGCAGCAGTTCACCCCTACTCAGAGATTACTTCAGAGAGATCTTGTGTGTGCTGGCTCTCAGCGGGCAACATTGAGGCACAAAGCCCTCCCTGACTCCTCTTCACTCTGGAGTGCAGTGACTCACTGCCTGTAAGAGCAGCATATTATAGTAGCCCTAAATTAGCATATATGTGCAGGCTAGTAGATTTTGGAGCATGCAAGACCAGACTCCAGCTCTGCCACTCTCTTTCCAGCCTCTGTGCTTGATGACAGGAGGCAGCTAGTACTCACTCTTGCATCATGAGATCCAAGTGATTGTTTTTAAATCAATATCATTCATATTGATTAATAATTCACTCCATGCAGGTAAAGAAAGTAACCTTGTAAACTGCAGTGGATGACACCTAAATGTACTCCCCTGTGCCATGGAGGCCAGTATCAAAACAATTCTGCACAGAGGAAGACAGGGGGTGTTGTACAAGGAATGTCTCTAGAGTAAAATGCTTTTTACACACAAGTCGCTTCCTTCTCTGTTGATGTCTGTGTGATGCACATGTGATGACTGTTCAGAAGGTTTTATCCAAAACATGCAGCAGTACTACCTGCTGGTTTCCAAGGAAAGCATTTAACAGTCTGCTGCTCACTCCATAGTCACACTTTGCACAGCCTTCTCCACAGATATGGAAACAAAGAAAAATGGCTCGTAACCGTGAACCTGCAGCATCTGAAATGCTCCTTGAAAGAAAAAGCAAAAGATATTTCCAATGGACATGAGCATCTCTATCCCAAACACAAGATATCTCTCTTAACTTCTGTCTTTATTACTTTATCTCTGTGTTAAATACATATAAACAAATTCAGGTGGAGCAGTCACAGCTGAAAATCAATTACTTGGGCTCTCACAAAACTAGTCTTTTCAGCTTTTGAAAGAAGAAAATTCCAGTATTTAAAGTGGGAATCTGCTTTCATTTAAAAATATCTGTAAAACATCCTCTCTCAAAGGAAAGAGGGTAGGTTATCCAGCTCAACTTCCCCAAATAGTCCCAGAAGGTATATATACCCCACACCACTTTTAAGATCCATAAATGAAACACCACTTCAGAATATAGAACATTATTCCAGAGTCACTGCATCTTGCCCAATGAAGTCCTAATGTTCAGATTATGTTTTCCCTTTCTCAGAATAGTATCATTGCCATACCCAAAACATGTTCCTAAATAATTCTTCCTATCCTGCTCATGACCACTCCCAAGTTCTGTAGCTAACATTGTCTTCCCTTAACCACTGCTTGTCCCAGTCACAGAAGAAGGCTTTGGAATAGAGTATCTTTAAAAGCTTTGCGCGACTCAAGAATTATGGTCTCAACAGTTTTTAATTCATGCAGTAAATTCATGATAGAACTAAGCACTGAAAGCTCCCATAACAGGAAGCCCCTGTCATCACTGAGAAAATCGTAACTGTTGATGGCTTAATTCACTGATATCTATAAGGACTGGACAATCAGTCCCTACGATTATGATTTCAAAAAGATTAGTACTTCAAATGTTAACTATTATGTTGGGGCTTTTGCATTTTTCCTTAGTTCTTCCACAATTCAAGGAGAATTTCAAAGACAACCATCAAGCATGCAGTAAGTAAACTCATGGTTTAAGTTTCCCAGTCTTAGCAACCACATTTCCAGAGTAAATAATTTAAAACCAGTAGTGATCTTCATATACGTGCTACTTACACTCTTCCTTTGCTTTTTAAAGACTAGAGAGACTGTTACTGATGAGAGAACACATAGCAGTCTCTTTACAGCTCTGAGCAATAACAAGCAAAGTAGAAAGGAAGATATAATTTTGCTCTGCTCTCCATCTACCTTGTAGTGTGCATTTACATGCACATGATTTTGTATTTGTGTCTTAATTAAGGCAAAGTAGAGCAAATAAAACTATCTTGCTGATCTGAGGCAGTCAAAATTCATCTAAACTACCCTGTTGCAAACATTAGTTTCCCTAGCATGATATTCAGATAATTGTATCTGTAGCAATAACAGCTGCATCCAATATCCCACAATTACCTTATATACCACTTTGTCACCTTCTGATAATCCAGGACTACAGAAATGTACAACTAATGTGGGATTTCATATTATTGCAAGACAAAAGTATCCTTATACCACCTTTGGGATGACAATGGCAGTTGGTCAGCATATAAACATCTTGAATATAACAAGAAAGGTAAATACTCAAAACCATGCTAGAGGTGCTACATAATTATAGCCAGATGTCACATTAGAAAATAAATACTCAGAAATAACAAATAAAGAAAATTAATAAATAAGCAAAGATAGTGTCAAATCTATAGCTGGGGTATTTCCCTGTTTCTAGCCTTGCATTTTGTTTTCCTTTCACTTTTTTTTTTTTTTTTTTAATGATTCTGTAAGATACAAAACCTACATAGAATTCCAGTTACACAATGGACCTGAGGTCAATAATCTCTGCACATAAAAAGATTTACCATGGATTAAAAGTGTCACTTCCTACTTCCTTCCCTACGGTATCAGATTTCAGTCTCTGAAAAATTCAGTTTTAGGTAGATATTTCTTGGCCTGCCACTAATTTAAAGCAACTTTCTGGCATTAATAAATAAATAAATAAATAAATTTTTAAAACTTTCACATTAATATGTTGGCATTTTATTTTCATGTTTATACATGCAACACCTTCAATATACCTGTCCTTTGATACTCTACAATATCCTTGATGTTTTGTATCACATAAGGTCAAAAAAAAAACATGTAAGATGCAAAAAGGACTTCTTGAGAAAGCAATCTTGGAGAAGGTGACAGGGGGCACAGGTTAGAGAAAAAAGACTGAAAAATCTTTGTGTCATCCATTTGTAATCAGACCTTCAATCTGAATGTGAATTCAAATTCCTGAGAATTAAAAGTGCAAAATGAGCCACTGGAGAGAGAGAGATCACACTAGCTGATTGAGGTGAGGGATTATATTTTTAGTTAAGGCACTATTCTGATTATGACATATATGAAGGAGGACTTCTGCCTTCAAAAGACTATTGAGAAACTTAATTAAAATGATTCCTCATGCCTTTCATAAGTTTTGGAGAGATAAAATCTCATTCCTCCTACTCAGTCACCTGAAGCAGTTGGGCAGTTCTGACATCCAAAAAACATCAGTAAAGTACTGGCCCAGGTGTTCCCAATATATGCAATCCTGCCTTCAGTTTTGTTGCAACAGAATTTCAAATCCAGTCCTTGCCTCAAAAAGCAGTAGCTCACAAGTTTTATCTCTGCCTCTCCCTGTGCTCTGTAGATCTGAGCATCCAGCAGCATCTCTCTTCACCTTTGCAGGAACAGTCTGAGGTAGCCTGACCTTTCCAAGCTCATTCAACACTCCAGAAACTGTTCAAGCAGCTTTTTCTCTTTCCTAACCCCATCAGACCACAAGCATGAGGAATACCAGCACCAGCCTGTGTCAGCTAATTAGCCAGTAATTCCTTTGGAATAAATGTGGCAAGACACATAGCCCAGGACCTTTACAAGGAAATCTAAAGTCAATTTGAATCTGAACCAATTCTCAGAGTATCAGGAAGTCATCTCATGTTGCCAGCTAATTAAGGGGGTAACTTCATTTACACTCAGCCTGAGAGACATTTGAGTCCTAACAGAGACTATAAAGATTCAGAGCTAATTGCTTACAGAATCGTGACACTACATTTAGCAGAGCCTGTGTGACAGGCCACAAACATGTGCTTTCAGAAAAAAGAAATTGTTGTTGACCTACCTGGATCTTAAATAGAACAATTATGCCAATTCTGAATCACTTTGAAAAATTCAGTTGATACGTCACTGAGCCTCAGCACCTTCCTCGAAAAATAACACCAGAACATCTTTCCTTCGTTATTTTTGATTAATAGCTGGCAAGCCACTCGAACAAACATCTCTTATACTGTCCTCTTACACTGCCTTTCACCATCACATCATAGGCAGGATTCTGAAGCATTGCTGCAATGCAAACAATATGAACAGGTTTCATTAGGGCAGAAAAAGAAGCCTTTCCTTCCCCAGACAAGAAACCAAATGAGTCCATTGTGGAGAAAACTCACAAGCCACCAAGGTAAAAGCACCGAGCCTGGCGAGCCCATGGAAAGCATTAGTTTGATGCAGTGTTTGATCTGTGAAGCCAGGTTCCAGCTGGAGCACCAGCATTTGTCTGACTCGCCTTCAAGTCAAAATATCGAGCTGCTAAGCTAGACAATTTGGGCAGCCTAAGATTTTTTCAGTGGCTTGCTCAACAGGTCCATGTTGCTTAA